CTGCTACTTCATCTTGTGGCAGTTTAATCAAGGACTTCATAGAGATAACTGATTTAGCTGCGCTTGGATCCCCCTGTATCCGAACGTTCTGTCCTTGATCGACGAAATCCATGCTCAAATTCTTCCAAATCACTTTTACCTCCCCCAAGGTAGCCAACAAAGTCACTCCCAAAATCACATCCACGCCTCCTAAGTCAAACAGAAAAAATTCTTCAGATAATTCATAATTTCCCATGTGTACCTTCAAATTTTTGCAACGCCCCTGGGTCTCTTTTCTTTTCCCATCTCCCAGCCTCACTTGGTACGATTCGGTTGATTCCACCTCCAATCCCAATTTCTGTACCAATTGGCTAGAGATAAAATTGTGACTGGCTCCACTATCAATTAAGATTAGCACTTTCTTGCCCTGAATGGTTCCTTGAAGTTTCACGGTTTGAGGTTGTGTCCATCCTCCAGCTGAACACATGGACAGGTCCATCCATTGGCACACCACTTCTAGCTCTTCTCCTCCTTCTTCCTCTAGCGCCTCCTCCTGTTCTGCTCCAATTTGTTCATCCTCAGCCAAAATTAATACCCGCAAATTCTTCCCGGAACAGCGGTGGCCTGGTCCATATGCTAGTCCATAACGAAAAACACCTGCCCTCATCTCTCCTTTTCACATATTCAGGATAAGATAGGTTTCTTGTTCCTCCATTTCTTGACCACGAACTTACACTTTCGCTTGTTTTAATTCCAAAAGTCACGGCCCCCGACTTACCTCCTTCTTGTGCATGTCGACCCATTCTATTAGACGTTTGAGAATTACTCACTCCTCCAATGCCAACTCGCGACACAATTCCCCCTCCTGTTTGGTATCGTGAACTTGCATTTTGACGGTTAAAAGAACCCCCGTATGTTCGCGCTTCTTTCATTGCTTCTTCCACATCACACGCCACCTCCATGGCACGGGTTAAATCCTTCGGATCATGAGGACGCACTTGACCCCTGATATCTTTTCGTAGTCCTGGTAGGAAATAACCCAGAATTGATCCTCTGGTGTTGAAATTGATTGTGCCACCAACAGTTCGATTTCTTGCACATAGTCTTCCATGCTCGAAGTCTGTCTTAGTGCTGCCAGCCTTTCATACACCGTGCTGCGACCATTTCCCCCAAACCTTCTCAACAAAGCCATTGAGAACTCTTCCCAAGAAGGATTGTTGGACTTTTGTCGCCAAAATTGGAACCAGTGAACAACATTCCCTTCCATACTTATGAATGCCAGGTGCAATTTCTCTATAAGTTTGACTTGTGCTTCAAAAAAATTTTCTGCCCTAGCTATCCATCCCAGCGGGTCACATCCTTCAAAAGTGGGTAATTCCACTTTTTTCATCCAAGAATTATGCATTCCCCCATTCTCTCCTTCCGATGACTCTCCTCCCTCCTTCACTTCCGATATATTCGCATTGTTGACTGAATCATTCTCCCCTTCCTCAGAAATTGGATCTTTCTTCTTATTCATACACTCAAGAATCAGTTCCTTAATTTGTTTCATGTCTGGCATGTTTTCTTTGATGTAACTGATGTCTCATTTCAACTCCGCTAATTTCATTCCTTGTTCGCTGGTCAACTTCTTCAAATTCCCCACTCGATTTTCCATCTCGTTCTTGAATTAAATCCGGTAGGTCGGACCAATTTTTTAGGATTCTTTCTGCGATAGAAAGGAAACACCAAGAAATACAGACAGGAAAAGAAGAAAATAGTGCCTCGGTATTAGTTAGAATCAGTAAACCTGTAACGAATGTACACAATGTACTCAAAGGAGCCCTCTCCTTTTTACACTGGAGTTCCCAGTTGCCTAAAACATGAAAAGTCCTTCCTTAACTCTCCAATTAGAGAGTTATTTATAGTAACCAAAATTTGCAATTGTAACTGACCCTTTTTTGAAATACATTCATAACAGATTCCTAACTACTAATTCACTCTATTATTCTTCCTCATATAATAGACTTGTAGGGTTTGTTTTTGGGTTTCATTCTCGGACCTATCAGAAGGTGTTGAAGGCCAAGCTCAAGGAAAGCCAACATTGAAGGCTTTTGGTAGTGACCTAGGAGTTTTGCTTCATTGGAGTGGATTCTTGGAAATTCAAACACCTAGGAAGTAACCATCATCAAGGTTACTTCTAAAGAGGAGTGAAACACCTTGTGAGGACTGAAAATTCGCTGCTGGATTGGAGGAAGAAGGAGCAAAATTTTTGTGAAATTTGTGACTAGTTTAGAGACGGAAAATTTAGTTACAAAATTTTCCTTGAAAAATCCATCTCTAAATTTGATACTAATTTAGTGGCTAATTTTGTTTTCTTGAAATTAAGTGAAGCCACTAATTTCATTTGATTGTGAATTTACATTTCATTTGGTGTGAATTTGCATTTCATTTGAGTGTGAATTTGCATTTCATTTGGTGTAAATTTACATTTCATTTCTTGTAAATTTTCAACTTCCTTCATTTTTGTACAAGGCCTTTATTAGGAGTGTCTTGGAGTGCCTTTGGTGTATCTCCATCTCTCCTTAGTGTTTTCAATTAGGTAGAAACGTTTAGTGCTTGTGAGAATGGTCCTTGGAAGTCTTTGGTACTTTCCAAGCTCTCACCTAGGTTTAATTGCTTTGAAACGCCTAGTTTATGTTTTCTTGCATTTAAGTTTTCAAGCAATTTATGTTTTCATGCAATTTATCACTACAAGAAAAAATAGAGTTAACATGGATTATTTTTGGCATTACCCGCGGTTAAAACCTCCGGAAAATGTATTTCCTGCGGTTGTGATTTTTGCCAGGAAAGCATCCGTGGCAAGGGATTTACCAGCGATTTTTGACAACCCCCAAAAATGCATAGCATACCCACGATTTTGTAACCCTCATTAACGACATAGTCTACCAGGGGTTGTAAACCCCCGTTAACACCATCATCAATTTTGGTTGTTTGTGATAACCCCATAATTTACTACGGGCTTTAAACCCTCGTTAATGTCGTCACATAACCTGTTGTTTATATAATCCCGTAATTTACCAGGGGTTGTAAACCCTCGTTAACGCCACACTATGTTTTTAATATCTTGTTTGTACTTGTAATTTTTAAATCCCTGTAGCTTATAAATGGTTTTTAACCATGTATAATATTTCAATCTATATATAAATTTTGAAATGCACAAGTTATATAAATATTAAAAAATAAAATGTACAAACAATCCACAAATTTAATATATTAATAAGCAAATGTACATAAACAAGTCATCCAAAAAAAATCCTAACAAGCAACATCCATAGTTTAGTAACATTCATAGTTTAGTAATATCCAAAATGACTTTTAAGAAGTAATAAAAACATATCCAACAAAATATTGATTTTCCTAAAACAAAAAGGTCAACATCTTTCCATAACAAATATAGCCCTATTATCTATCTTGAGAATTTGTTGGAGAATGATTAGGGACATTAATTGGTTGTGCACTTCCTTGGTCAGATACCTACAATTAAATATAAAACTTAGTTAGAAATATAAAGTATATTTTAAAATATTTATAAATCTAATTTAAAATATTACCGGTGAAGATTGAAATACAGGCAAGTCAGGAAGCCTTTGACCTTGATAATTCTGTGCAAAAAAATTCATCATTGTCTCAAATCTTTTATTTTGTTCTTCTATTTTCTGATTTTGTTCAGCCATTTGAGATTTCAATTCAATAACCTGTTTCAAAAGAAAAATCAACACAAATAAAAACATAAATAGAAATGAAAATCATACCAATATTAAACGTGACATTTTATTTGTTTTCTTCAAAACTTTAAACCACAATAAGGTTTTAATTATACAGATAATTGACAACATGAAAAATAGTCTCATAAATTCCAACAAGATCACCAAAGTATACCTAAAATATTACAAACTTTGTTAAAATTGACTTCAAATTAGATCTACAATGAAAAATTCTTATTATACAAATATTACCTTTTTAGGAATCAAAAGAAGCTAAAGCACAACTTGGGAACAATAAATTAGGTGATTATCAAGGAGCACAACACAATCAATGATGTTTATCTAGATATTATTTCAAGAAGAAAGACAAATATGAAATTAGAAAGCAAGAATTATAGAATGGGACATAAAACTAATCTTTATTTTAATGAATAACATCTAATTAGTTAATGATAAATGATTTATGCAAGTAGGTACCATTCAATATTCTAATTTTTTGAGATCCAAAGAAGCTAAAACAACAATTTAAAGGAGTTAAAACCTAACATTGAAATTCTAAAGGAAATTGTAGCATACTACTAACCTCATTTTGTAACTCTCTACAAGAAGGAGAAAATGAGGATATCCCACTATATGAGCGTACAGTGTGTCCAAACACACGGGATGGGCAAGGTCCTAATCCTAATCCTCGAACACGTCCACAATGTTCTTGACTTCCTAAAGTTTGAGCTAAGGAATCTTGACTTGATATGTCTTTTGAAATGCTTCCACTCAATTCATATGATTCAATTTTTTCCTACATAAAACACAAAGAAACATTTTAAGTTAGCCTCAAAAAAATATTGAGCATTTTCAACATTAATATAGTTGAACTTACTCCAATTTCTTTGGCTTCGTCATTCACGAATTCCCCATTAGCATGTTTATGTGTTGCTATCCATATTTCTCCCCTACTAACTTTGCGGCCAGACTCTAATTCCTACAAAATCCAAAAAAAAAACAAGAATTATATTTAAAAAAAAGAAAGTATTATTTCATTATTAAAAATTAAGAAGCATATGTTTACCATCTTTTGCTTCTTGCGTGCAATGCTCATGGAACCACCTGTGTGGGGAATTGTTTGCTTTTTTCTATTATCTTTATTTTTTTGGGCTTTTTCCTAATATTTGACATAAAAGCAATTTGTAAATACAAGTAAAAATCAAACATAAATTAAAATTTAATTTTACCTTAGTTTTTGAATCTAAACGATAGTCTACAAAAGATGCCCATTGATCTTTATTTAATCCTTCTGGGACCATTGCAATCAATTGATCTCTATTATGAGTTCCATCATCCCTTTGTTGCCACAATTCTTGACGATGCTCTCTCCATTTTATGTTAAGTGATTTGAAGATATAAGCCACGTGAAGATCATGCTCAACTTCAAACTTAGCCTTCAAAGTATGCGACGATCAAAGTTAGAGACAATTTGTAGCACAATTGAATATATAATGTAAGTAAAATGCATAACCACTTACTTGAATGATGTCCTTAAGTACATTTTGCTTGTAGTCTTTAGGAATCTTCTTCCAACTAGTATAACTGATAGGGAATACATCAGAGTCTCTTGCAAGGTGACCTAAGAACCTATTTAACAATGCTCCACTATTTGCAATTGCTTGGTCTTCATCATTCCATTCTACAACAGCCCTTTCGTTAGAAGGCAACGACCAAACATCATTCACCGTAAGTGGCTTTGTGTTCTTTGTGCCTTGGTCATCTAACAAATTATCAAATATGTTAAAAAAAATTAATTTAATGGTATATTTTTAATTATTGACCCAATTGATTGAATAAATGTTGCTAAACTAGGTCATACAATAATCATGTAAAGTGCTTACCAATCACATCAACTGTCCAGGCTCTCTTACGAGCTATAGGTTGCGATTTTTGAATTTCAATGTTTTCATTCGCTTCCTCTTCACTATCAAAGTTAGACTCTAGTTCATTACTAAGTATAGGCTGAAAACCAAATGGTGATGCAAGTGAAGGTTGAGAATCAGGCTGAGAAGCATGTGTCGGTTGACTATGAGATTGAGGTGGATGTGTAGGATGAGAATCAAATTGAGATTCAGGTGGAGGTGGCAGATTTAGCTGAGGTGAAAAGTTAGTTTTGTTGGTGGAAAATACCTCAACTTTAAGGTTCCTATAAAGCCATGAGAATAATAAAAGTTAAGAATTATATCACATGCAATTAATGCAATTGAATATTGAATACTAAATTAAACTGTGTAACAGCCCAAATTTTCGCGGGGCCATCATCACGTCATAATTTTCCATCACACCAATCATCACAAATCTTGCACTTCACACTATGCCAAGGTCACATTACCCATTTAACAATCCAAGGTCGTGCTTACCCCTGATATAACACTGTGCCAAGGTCACGTTACCCCTAACCCAGGGCCGTGCTCACCCCTGACATGTTAACCAAGGTCACGATACCCATGTAACAATCTCGGGCCGTGCTCACCCCTGGTCATAGGTGTGAAGAACCACAATCACATCTCATTCACATT